AAGATTAAACAATGAAATCGACAGATGAAGGTGGTTTGCATGGTTTACACAAATGAGAGCGGTTTTCATTTGATCACTCCTCTCTCTCTCTCTCTTTCTCTCTCTCTCTCTCTCTCTCTCTCTATATATATATATATATATATATATATAAAATTAGAAAAAAGATAGCACCGACAAACACCATTCATTCCATTAGAAATTTTTCATGGATTTTTCAAAAATTATTACTAATCACATTTTCGACCTACAAGAAAAATACCAAAATAAAAATCATGTTTACTTAACTCGTCACTAAAATACTAATTTTTTTTGTCTAAATTGAACGTGACTTGTATATTTAGAGGTCTACTACTAATGGCTTTTAAAAAATGTGTAGTGGCTTTTAATTTAGAGTTTTATGTTTTAGTGTATAGTTAGAAAAATTTTCTATTTTAATAGAGATGGACCTGCTATATGTAAGATCTCACATTGGTTTAGGAGGAGAACTAAGGTTGCTTCATAAGGACTGGATATCTGTTACTATCAAACATGTTTTAAAGCCGTGAATCCAAGTATGAACAAAGTGGACAATATCTATTAAAACATGTTTAGATGTTACAATGATATTAGAGTCGGGAACTGAACTCGTGTGCTAGCAAGGATGCTTGAATACCTTCTCTATTAGAGACGTTTTAAAATCACAATATAGTGTACGGTTGGTCTAAGGTATCACATTAATTTAATGTTTTTTTAAACGTATCTGTTAGAGATGTCCTAATACTTATTATCATATTTTGTCGTTAAGAAAAAAGAATGTTAAATTGTGCATATTTATGCATAGCAATAATGACAATAAAACCCTAACCTCTAAACCTTAAATGATTATTATTGTAAATATCTTCATAATTAATAAGATTAACATAAAAAGGTGGTAATTATTTCGTAAAGAATGAAATGGGAGTAGTATTTTTAGTTTGGGTTTAATTTAAGGAAAAAGTTTAAAAAAACTTAATGGACTTTAATGTTTGGAATGATTAAGTTAATAGACAATTTTTTGGAATGAATAAGTCCTTCGACATTCCAAAATCTATTAAATAACTCCTTAAACTTTTTAAAACCTGTTAGATACATCCTTATAGAAAACATCTAGAAAAAAACCAAATAGACTTTTATATTTTAAACGATTAAGTTACTAAACATTTTTTGAACAGAAAAATACTTACATCTATAAATGAAATACATATACCAAAAAGTATTTATATTTACAAAAAAAAATACTTACATTTAAAAAAATTATTGATGAAATTTATTTTAATTAAAAACAAAAAATATTTTATTAGTGATTTTCCAAATGAAAAAAATAAAAAAGGATTTAAAAGAATTACTGATTAATTTATTTTAATAAGTGTGAAAGATCGTGCTTGAATCTTGTCGGTGATATCAATTCACCGACGGATTAGTGACGAATTTTATTTAATTATATATTTAGTTAAATTTTATCGTTAAGCCGGTCAGTAATTGAATCAAATTATTTTTTATTTTTTTAATTTAAAAAATCAACAACGTATTATTTTTTAATTTTTTTAATTTGAAAAATCATTGAAAGAAAATATTTTATTTTTAATTAAAATATATTTCACCACTAATCTTTTCTAAATATAAGTACTTTCTTAAAAATATAAATATTTTTATGGTATATTTATTTTATTTTATAGATGTAAATACTTTTTTGGTTTAAAAATGTTTAGAGACTTAATCTTTTAAAATACAAAAGTCTATTGGTTTTTTTCTTCATATATTTTTTATTATTTTATCATATTAAACAGTTGTATAGGTTATAAAAATGTATCTAACGAATTTTAAAATATTTAAAAAGTTATTTAATAAATTTTGAAATTTCCAAAAATTTTCCCATTAATTTAATTGGATAGGATTGTCGGCCGTTGAGCCAAGATCGGCAAATCGGTCCACTGAGATTTATGGGATCACCTGCAGTAATTGGCGCAATCTCTGCAACTCCTCACACCACGCCGGTTGTGGGATGGCCACGGCCCCCCACCATAAAAGCAACGCTTTAATTTCGAAAAAAGTGCTTCAAGTTTTCGTTTATTGCACTTTACCCCTCAATTTTCGGTTGGATCTAAATTTGTCGCCTTACATTTGTTACTGGAATTTAAAATCAGGTCCATGTACCAAAATTGTTTTTCAATGTTACCATTCTTTATAAATAAAAGTTAATTTTTATCATTAACGTTTCTCAATTTTAACGGTTTTCGTTTCTCAACTTTATTTTAACAGATTTGTCTATGACGTTTGACACTTTAAAACAGTTTTCTTCCCTCATTTTAACGACTGTTATGAAGAAGAGGATAGAAAAGATGCAGAATAAAAAATTACAAACCGGTAAAAAAAAATAGATAATAAAGGGTTTCTATCTAATCAACCAAATGCTTCTACCGACATCCTCTGCATGTTTAATATATAAACTAAAATACTAAATCTCATACAACCACTTGCATAAATTTTTACCAAATTCCAAAATATAGCTTCAAATGAATTAAGGGTCCATTTATTAACACTTACTTGGTAAGTATTTATCGGATAAATTTCCTCATCGCATGAATATGAGAAGGGTCAAAAATCATACCGGGTAAAAGCGATGAGAATGATGGAGAGTCTTACCCGGTAAGTGAGAATGACGATTCTTACTCAGGTAAGCGCTTACCCACTAAATTGTTGCATTCGATATGTTTTGATATACTAAAATTTTACGAATCAAAATAAATCATAGTGTTGACTCTTATAGGTAAGTGCTTACCGGGTAAACAATTGGGTAAACGGCCCCTAACTTTAACTCTGAATAAAACTTGAGTCTTTAAGAATTTTTCTCACAAGTTATTGGTTTAAGTTATACAAGATTATTAAAGATTTTCTTGACGCTTTCCTGTGGCACTTAAAATTAGTTGAGAACGATCCACAGTATCTGGATTAAACCTTAAAATACAAGTTATCACCAAGAAAATACATTTTTACAACATGCAAAACGAAATGATGGTTTCACCCATACATGATTGAACATTTTCCTATACTTTGATCAAAATTTTGAAGGTCGATTACAAGAATGGAGGTGTGAAAATGGTAGCAAAATCTAGGTTAACATCAAACTCTAAACTCCTATTTGCATAATTTGGGATGGAGTATCACAAAGCTTGAATTTTGCCCCCATACCCATAGTACTTGAGTAGCCCTTCATCTTGTCTCCAATTCTCTTTCACCTTCACTTCAACCTGACCATATACAACTTGGTTTTCAGCCAAAAGCAAAATCTTTAACACAACTCATGTTGTCTGTCAACATATAGCATAAGAAACACGTTCTCGGAGAATTGCGATGGTGATATACTAAAAAGGGCTATTTAGCCCAATGATCTTCACCACAAGCTCGTTTTGCAACAAGTTCTCGATCGGATGAATGTCATTTGAGTTAAATTTTTTTTGAAGGTAATGCTCCTAATTAAGAACTTATTTAAGGCCGCTTATCCAAAGGACCCTATACTAAAACACGCGTGACCTGAATGTTAAGGTTGTACCTCCAAGAAAACTTTTTTCTGCAAGAAATCTTCAATGTCAAGCCTTGAAGCTGTTGCAAGTAGTTTTAGAGCCCTCCCATCCTGGTTCAATCAAGAGTATATATACATCATGTGAAGACCAAGATTGATGCAAATAGAGGGAAGAAATCACAAACAAAAATGGAACATTTTACCCGGAAATATAAATGGAAAACAGAAAGAAATGGAGATTGCAAGGCTTCATCGCAAGTTCGATGAGTGCTAACAGAAGCAATAAACAACATAAAGCTCACATGCCTTTCCAATGAGGATGATTTTCTGGGTGTTCTTTTCAACAACTATCTCGACTTGAATGAAGTCTTTTGCGTCTGGTCGGGCTTTGTAATTTATCACATTCACCTGCCAAATAGTTGAATGCAACCTTAAAATAAGACAAGATTCTTGTAATTCGGAGATATCGTCGTTTTTAAGGATGCAAATTCACCTGACATGCGTAAGGAACTTCATTACGGAATTGCATGAAGATCTTTTCTCTGACAATTTCAGCTATGAAGAATCTTTCAGGATGTTCACTAGTTATGTCCTGCTCCAAGACAAAGGTTGATCCACAGCGGGTCAACAAAAAAGAATCACAAATTCACACAAAAAAGCCAACAAACAATTCTGGAGTTCAACTGTTTCTATCCTGGTGTACTTTTTCGTACAAATGGTAATAGCAAAGAAGTAGTATTTATTAACAGATTAGCACTTATTTACCATCGATTAAGACGAGACAAATGAAGAAACAAACAATTCTTACTAACATGCCTTGGGATAATATGCTGGTCCAAGAGGAATTTTTGATAGAATCCAGTCCTTCACATCATCAACTCCATGACCATATTTTGCACTCACCGGAATCACTTCATCTACATCGGTAGATTTCTCATACCACTGAAAAAATTATGTACTTGTTCAGTAAGATCGGAAAAAGGAACGGTTTATTTAGAAGAATAACCATTCGACAGATTTTTAATCCGCATCATGCATCTTATTAACACAAGAATGTCTCAAAATCTGTCAGAAGATCATGCATTTTAAAAAGATATGTAAAAAGGTTATTCTCCTAAAGAAACCTGAAAAGAACACACTTTAACGGAAACTGAAGTTGGATTATTTGTGAAACAAAAGAAGGGCATAAGTTGTCATGAAACAAAATTCAGAAACACAGTTCTTACCTCAAGTTTCTTTGCAATTTCACCAGGTTTGATGAGATCTCTCTTATTCAAAACCAGCAACACGGGCACATTATCTTTAAGCTCTCCTACACCTTCTTTCAGCACTTCATTAATCTAAAGCAACACAAATGTTAACAAAATGATAGGACAGATACACAGCAAACTTTCTTTTCGCATTACATTTTCAGGCGGCTTGCATGCATCAACAACCACCAATACGCAGTCTGCATTAATGGTAGCGCTACGAACATTCTTCATCATCATTGAGTCCAACTTGTGCATTTTCTTCTCGATAACACCAGGTGTATCATATAGTATCATCTGAAATGAAATCCATAAACTGTAGGAGGCAAAATATACAAGCTTTATCTTCCATAGCCACATAATTACATCATAACATAGAGCATTTGGATATCTTGAACATAACGAGCACAAGAATGGTCATCAAGAATATTTCTATTGCTGTCAGCACAGGCATACTGAACTGTTACAGATGAGGAACTCTTACTGAAAGCAGACAAGCATATGAGTTTTGACATTGGTCTACAATTAGAGGCATATAATCCTTATTATGATAATCGATCATGCCCACTTGCATATAAAGTCAAAAACTAAAATTAGCCTAGTGAGCTCTGGTACACCCTCAGGGTGCGTTTGGTATGCAGGACAAAATGAGACATGACAGAACAAAAATTGGTTGTCCCTGTTTTGGCACGACATTAGACTGTGAATGTACAGGACAGGGTGAGAAAAAAATGCCTTCTTTTGGTCCCACTGAAATAGGTGGGCAACAGGAAGCCGAGACAAGATTGGTAAATACTAAACTACCCATGTCAAATCAAAACCCTACAACCTTCCATAATTTTTTCATCCGCCTACCCACTCTTGTTAGTCTAGTCTTATACCATTCGGTCCAGTCAGGTCTGTGTGCCAAACGCACCTTCGTTGTCTAAACAGAGGGGCATAAGTTGAATACTAGAATCTCCTGAAAACTCAGATCATTGCATGTTATCTACCAGACTGCAAGGATAATCTTCTTTCTTGACTTTTTCAGTGAAAATATTTGCTTAACAAAAGAAGAAGGGGAAAAAAAGGAAAACAGGCAAATAATCAGCAGGTTTGATGATGCAATTTCATCAAGTCTCAAGTTCATCACAAGAATTTTTGTTGGTAATAAATATGTCCTATGGATGCTCTCAAAATTCAAGTATCATTCTTCAATCTTGCTAAGAAAGCTAGCACAACAAAGTTTGACATTTGAAGATTCATTTTGTGGACATCTCCTCACATTCTCCACATATCACCACCTTATTATTTCAGAAATAATAATGAGAAACAACTCAATGAACATAGAAAAAATCAAACCTGATACTCTGGGGTGGAACATATACCAAGAATTCGATGTCTTGTCGTTTGTGGCTTATCCGTTACAATTGAGAGCTTTTGCCCGATCATTTGGTTTGAAAGTGTACTTTTTCCAACATTTGGCTTGCCTACAACAGCTACATATCCTGTGATTATATGTAGACGTTATCCCTGCCCGTGAATCATTTGCCACTTCAACAAACAAACCAACACATATATCACCATAACCATGGCTGACTCTCACATGCACTGTGTAAAAGCTTGGCTTCCTATGACCTCAAAAGGGGATTGATGGTGGCATCATCCATGGTTTTACAAGAGGCTTAGTTCTTTTTTCTTGTACTAGTAGTAGCACTTTTTTGTGTTTCCTTGTTTGTTTAACCTATCTCTCTCACATCTATCTGCATTTTTTGTTTATTGTACATGTTGCTTGTTTGCACACACATTTGTTTCTTTTAGTTTTCGTAATACAAGTCGGGATATTCGTGGAAAAACCGCTTGGGAGAATGGGCATTTCCTAGGTTCCAAATTTCTGCATCATTTACATTCAATATAAAGTATTCCCTTTCATTCCAAGAAAAGGATTATAGTACCATCTTGATATGGATTTTGTATCAAATTTTGACACCAACTTTCTTGGTGCTACCAAAGATTAAATACAGTTACACATAATCTCTCTCTCTCTCTCTATATATATATATATATTCAATTATATAACAATCTTGAAAGTCAAAAGCACCCATTTGACATGAAACCTGTTGGATAAATTATTCAAGGGTGAACAATGGATATTGTGAAGTCAAGATGAGTTCACGATATCTGGAAAATTGATTGAGGAAAAACCAAGTCCTGTAAGGCTGTAACTATAATTTAGCTTTTCATCACCCACAAATCAACTACTAAATTGAAGTAAAACAAAACAATTACTAGAAACAGTTTGACCGATACTGACCACTGCGATGATTAGGGTCAGAAAGATAATCAAATTCCTCCATCTCATAATCGTCTAACATCGCCATGTTCCTATCTGGCTTGGAGCTCAACGACAAAAACGCTGACGTTCCGTAGCCATCCTCCTCTTCTTCCACTTGTTCTTGTTTGAATTGGCTTCCACCGAGAGAACAGAGCAACTGCTTGGGCGGCGAACTAACAGAGGAAGAGGAGACGGCGTGGAATTGAAATTGGCGGCGGAGATTGTAGGGGAAGGCGGAAAGAGAGGAAGGGTGTGGAGAGAAGAGGAAAAGAGTGTTGGGAAGAGCCGGGGATATGCGTTGAAGGCTAAGCTCCATTACTGGTTTTCTGTATGTATGTATTTATGAAATTTGGGGAAGAACTATCATCGCCATTGTATCCTCATTCGACAGCTCTCTCACTCTACTTATCTTCTTCTTTCTCTTGCTGTTGTATAATTTAATTATAATCGGGAAAATTGGGTTTTTATGCCTAATATACCTCTGTATATGAAGAATATGCCCAATCTGCACACTTGGAAAACTATTGTTATTAATCTCAAAAAAACCCAAAATTTCCAAATCACTCCAATAAAACATCTGTTGTCCTTTATTTGCTTCTCCTCGTCTGCTTTGTTATGCAATGTTGATTTTTTGTTAGATTTTATCTAATCCTTTTCGTGTTAGTGGTAGATTAGGTTTTCTTCGTTCTTCGCTTTTTTTTACTTCTAGGTATTGATTTGTTTTTTCTGTTGATAACGAATGTATTAAAATATGAGGAGATCAACGGTGTCTAATACATGCTCGATACACGCTTGTTGCTCTATGCATGTTCGATACACACTAGATGGATTCTTATTGTTGGGGAAAAATAATGTCTTCTACCATCTCTTAACAACCCATACTCACATGTCTTTTAGTTGAGTAGGACGGATATGTTGAAGACGGTAGAAAACACTTATTACTCAAACAATAAGAATCCATGGAGATATGAAAAAGAAGTAAATGATTATAAGAAATAAGATTAAAATGATTTTATTATTATTGAAAGATCTTTTCATACAAGTGTTTAAGATAGAGAGATTTTTAAACCACATGGGTGGTGTCTGATTGGTTTGAGCTAGCCTCCAAAGGTCAAAACTAGCAGGAGGTATCGGGTTCAAATCTAAAGAGGAATAAAAATCCTCTTATGGCCATGGAGGTTCAAATGCGGTAACTCTGGGCTATCTGCAAAGCAAGTGGTCGTCCTGGGATTAGTCGGTTCGCGCAACGGGTTGGATATCCAGGTTAATAATAATAAAAAAAGATAGAGAGATTTCGGTTAAAATAGCTTCTAATCTTCAGAGAGATGGATATTAAGATTTAAAAATAATCAGCTGTCAAAAAACAATTTATTTATCACAATAAACAATAATTGTACATGTACTCTCAACTGCAACATATACAAATTAGCATGTAACTTGTAATGAGACTCATCCACCGCAAACCCCTTCACATACATTAGTGTGTGTGTTCTCACCCAGACCTTTTCGAGATTAAATATCAATCTCATATCCACCTTTTTGTTGTTTGTCAAGTATCTCGTCCCTTCGATGAAATATTTGTTCATATGATACTCAAGTCAAAATTGTCCTTCTTAATTTGTATAGATGATAGCTTGCTTCATCGGAATTGATTAACTCTCGACATCCTTAAATCTTCAATAATCACCATCCACTCCCCACTTCCCAAACAATATTCTAAACATGTAAATACGTTGACCTTTGAACCTAATTGAAAAACTACTATCAAAGTGGTGTTTGATGTTCATCTAAATCTATACTAGACCCATAGCTATAATTATTAATTAATACCACCAGTTCGCTTATATTATAATGTCCAATACGTTGGAGGTTTAAGAAAATCAAAGAGAAAAAAGAGTTGGTAACAGAATAAAATCTAAGTATTTTTGTAATAACAAAAACTAAGGAGGATAGTTTTTCAATGTAAAAAACTACCAACATATTTTCCATACATTTAGCATAAGAATTCGAATGTCTCTTTGTAGTTTCTAATTGAATTATCTTCTACCTTCTATTACCTAAACGAAAAGACACTTATACGCCCACCTTATGATTTTTGTTCTCTCGATCATATTAACCAGATTAGCGAAAACCCTGAGGAAAGCTCGGTTAAGAACCGCATTTCCATTATGATCTAGGGAACCATACCATATTCATCATGAATAATGGACATTAATTTTTTATATTATTCATGGTGACATATCCATGACCCAATCTTGATGGTTCTCCAATTCGCAACTGAACCTCCCTAAGCTAAAATAATCACTGAATTTGTATTGTTTTTATATATACAATAACATATGACGCTAAAAAAATGAGTAACTTGCAAAAATCGTCCATATGCAGGAAATTCTGGTTTTCACTACCTGTATATTAGACACTATGTTTTGTATCTTGTTGCTTATTTCGTCCCTAATCTTTAACAGACGTTAAACCCATCAGTTAAATGCCCCCTCTCCTTGAAGCAGTTTTATGATTTCCTCTAAACCATACCACCCTACATCAAAATGAAGCAATAGATACAAAGAAGGAATAGAGAACAGAAATCTTACTGCCAAATAGGTTGCAGTTTGCTACTTTTGGTAAGTTGTAGCTTCCATACACTCACTGCACTTATTCTAAGATAACATTCTTTGTACAAGCATTGCTTTTCTTTCATATTCATGCTTTCTTCAAATTTTCTGCATTATCTACATCTACATGGGTCGGGTCAGGTCAGATCAGATCAGATCAGATCATCACTGGGACAGGTATCAGATGGGGAAGATGAACCTTTTCCAGTTGGAATATAGGACCATATTAATGCAGCACTTCCAACCGTAACTGCAGCAACAACCGAACCCCAAATCCATCTTTGTCTTCGCTTCCTTCTTTGCCTATGTCGTCGCATTGTTTCTGCACATATCATTAAAACATAAATACCATAACAGTTACAAATTAAGAGGATTCAAACACGGAAAAGATAACAGATTTACCCATAGTTTCTTGATTCCACTGAGACAGCTCCCGGTTGACAGCCTCGTAATACCGTACTCTGTCCAATAACCTACCAATCTCGAAGTTTTTAGACTCTAACTGGGCTTCCATCTCTGCCCCAACCTCGGCTTTCCCAACTGCCCGGCCAATACAATTGGATACGAAGCGGATAAGATGAACCTGACCAGATAACTCTTCTGCAAATTGGTCCTCCACCATACTAGGAAGATTAAGCCCCACAAGGGAGAACTGTTCTTGTATCCTCCCCCATTGGCTTTGGATATCATTTATGTGGTCTTCTGCTTTCTTCCTTTTCTCCATCTCCACCAATAAACTCAGTCGTATTTCACGTAATTCAGTCTCCACATCGTTTAAAGAAGGCTGGGATCCACCCTCAGAAGACAATTCTGAAGCATAAGATGCAATTGAAATGATCACTACCATGGTTTTCTAAAATTCTTTACAAAATGATCACTGACTAAAATGTTATACTACAACATACACTATAATATGAACAGATTAACCATCAAGTGTCTACTATATATAGCAAGCATAAACCAAATTACCTTCCCACGCATCATAAAACTCAGAAACTGAAGAGTTGAGATTCAAAGACCGCTCCAGTCCATGATTACTATCCCCATCTGTGCTGCTCCTAACACTCAACGAGTCTTGGGGGTCAAAAAAGTCATCCATCTCACTGTCACGTTCCAATACAACAGATTTCGATTCATCTTGCCTAGCTGCATCATCATCAGCAATGCTGTCATTTCCATGTTCCCCGTCGGCTACAAACTTAGCATGACTGTCCTCAATAGTTTTACAGACATTATCTGTGACATTCACAACTCTACAAGATTCAACATCCTCTGCTTCTAAGCTTCTCACGATCTCAATTGTCTTTTCATCGGCTAGAGCTTGGTGAAGAGCTACATCGACCTCGGAGAAAGCCTTGGAAAGGCGTGGCCCACGTCTCTTATGGTTAACAATATATGGTGATGGAGCAAACGACGATGGGGAATCTGGTAGTGGTGTGGGTTCTGGAGTGGCATAGAGAGCAGGTGAAATCTGAGTCCAGTGTTGCTTTCTCTCTATAGATTTTGTACCATCTTTTAAATCCGGACGTTTATCAGTACCATTAATCCGACTCCCCTGTCTCGAATCACTTGCAACTTTCCCTGCTGCCATAGGCTTGGAAGCTTTTGGTTCTATTAGCCTATCTAAAGCTATCGTTGTAAATGTAGGCATTGCACCATCAAAGATCTTTACAGCTTCAAGCTTTTCTATTTACTCACAAACAACTTCAACATCAATAACCAAAACAAGGAAAATCAATAGAAATTACAAACACAAATAAACGTAAATCTGATCATTTCCGCAATAAAAAATACAAACACATTAGAAATAAAATAAAATAACCTTTTAACACCTTAAATCTGATTTCAATAGCAATGCTTTGAAGCTTTATACTTTGCAATAACTTTAACTGATTTGAGTAAAGGATGCAGACTAAATACCTGATTATAATGAAAATAAGCATCGAAACCATACAGACTATATGCACTCCGAATCAAACAATCGCAATTCAGTATAGAAAAATTTGTTCATATATACTAAACCAGTAAACCTAGAGCATCCCCAAACTGTATAATTCGAGCATAAAACCATTCGTTCTAAGCTTCAATAACAGTAGTAAACTGAAAAAATCTTCAAGACAATTACATATCCAAATCAAGATTGAAATACACGATCACTTAATTCATGTAAGAAATACGTACAAATGATTTGCCAATTGAAATATAAACACATACATACATATATACACAAATCCAATATTGTTCGAATCAGTAAGCAAGAAGGAGGGGTACCTTGAGGAGTGAATTAGAACACATGAATCAGATGGTGCAACCAGAAATGAAATGAGGAAGCCGACCATCGGCTTATTATATTCCTTCCATTTTCCTGTCTTGTGGAGGAAGTCGAGAAGAATCGTCAGCTTTCTTTTTTATGGTTGCTGGCTATCGTACGCGCCACGTATCACCCCACACATTTTCATTTTTTGCCCGATATTTTAAATAAACTACACTTCACCTCCTTATTCTTTGTCTTTGAGACATTTCAACTCCCTAACCTTAAACATTTTGCACTTTGGACGCATTGGTTGTGGTTTTATCATCCCTTTTATTCTCATGGTCTATCTATTCAAATAAATAACAAAATATTTTGGCCATAAATTGAAGAATTTGAGTTTATTATAAATAGATCAGATGACAGTCAATTATGTTAATTCGAATCTTATAAGTCATCTGATCAAAATATACTACGTATGTTCGTTAAATATAACATTATGGATTTATATTAGATCAAGACGACAAAAAAGTATTTCTCCTTCAATTCTGCAAATCAATTATGATTTAATTTCTCATGAACCATCTTATTAACTTTGTATTTCGGTTTTTTCTTCAATTTGAAAATGTTTTTTTAGCTCTATATCATTGTATTAGGTTTTATACTGCATCAAATTTAGTATGAATGACAAATTTAATTTCTAGAGTTTTATAAATTAACGTTCAAGAATAGTTCGACAATATTACCCTTAATAGAAACGGATGTTGAATTATATATAACATAAATTATGTGTGTCTCTTATTTACATGTGTTATGTTGTAATTAAAAGATGTTATGTATTGAATTCTATTTAGGTTTTCACCTTGGGTTTATATTGAGAACTTAGAAAATTGATGGACTTATAGTGCATTAGGGTTAAACGATGAAGGGAGAAAAGTGTAACTTGTAAAAAAAGCAAGTGGTGGGCAGGCAGGGTGATGATAAGATTCAGATTCCGCTGGGTATCTCATAGATGTTGATTGCAATCGAGCATTCCAAGAAAATTTGAGTTTCGTTACAACGATTTTATTTTGTATTTTTATTGCATTTTTATGTTATTATTATTAGACACTTCACACCGATATTTCTAAATTATTTTCAGAGTCTATGTAACAATACCGGTATTTTTAAAGTTCTTTTCAGGGACAGACCTATTAAGACAAGAGTAGTGGCGGATCCAAGATTTTGGTCTAGTGGGGGTATCTTTAAGGTAGCTTAAACGTCCATAAAATCGTCTGATGTGTTTTTAGCTTAATTCCATCATTTCAAGAGATTTTTGAAGTTTTTTTTGGATATTACGAAGGATTTTTTTATTGATTTCAAGGGACTTTTTCAGTTTTTTGGTTGAGTTCGAGATACTTTCTTTAGTTGGTGGGGACCTTAACAAAAAATTACTGAAGAGAACTATGGTAGAAAATAAAAAGATAACTTTTAACTTAGAAAAATTCTTTTTCTTTATTTTTTAACGAGGGCCCTTCCCACCATCTTTTACATAGTAAGGCGGCCGGTGCTAAAAATACACCGCTTAATTTTGAAAGTGCTCTAAAATATTTCAAAACAAAATTCAACAACAAATATCTAATTTGGTGGGATGGTCACGGGATGCTTAAATAAAGGGCCTCTTATATGGTTTTAGATTCAAATCTAATTTGCAGCAAATGTGGTTATCTTTGTTTATAATTTTTATTTTTAAGGGGCCGTTTATTAAACGCTTACTCGGTAAGTGCTTACCGAATAAATTTTCATATCGGATGAACATGACAAGGGTCAAGAATCTTATCGGGTAAGAGCGATGAGAATGATTGAAAGTCTTACCCGGTAAGTGAAGATTACGACTCTTACCCAGGTAAAAGCTTACCCGGTAAATTGTTGCATTTAATACGTTTTGATGTACTAAAATCTTACTCATCAAAATAAATTATAGTGTTGATTCCTATAGATAAGCATTTACTGGGTAAGCATTTGGGTAAACAGCCCTTAACTCTTAACTTTTTCTGAAAACTCTATTAATTTAATTTTTATTCCCAAATTTGTTTACACTTTTTATTGATTAATTACATCCGGACATCCTCTTGTAAATTATCATGTTTTTAATAATTAACTTTCCAAAAAGTATAACTTGTTAGAGTTAACAATGGGTTTATGTTCTCATTTCTTGTTAAGAGGTTGTTTGTTTACCTTTTAATAGTTCTATTAAAAGATAATATTTGAATCATTAAGAGGTGAATCATGTTTGATAAAAAAAAAATTGTCTCTTAATGGTTCTAAAACTCTCTGAATGATTTTGTATCCTAGGGACCCCTTAATCATTCAGCGCCCTAATTTCGTTGTAAACAATTACCAAACAATTATATTTCATTTTGCGCTATATCATGAGAGTCTCTTAATTATTCTGACCACTTAATCATTCTGTATGAAACCATTCAGCAATTGACAAACAACCCCTTAGTTTTAATTTGTTTAATCAATCTAGAGTTCTTTTAATTTTGTTAGTTAATTTTAATATGCAAAACATCTTATTTAATAATAAAATATAGATGCATAAGGAAACAAAATGAAACCTACAGGTAAATGATGCAAAAATCAAATTCTAAAAATTGAGAATTTTTAGGAAATCAATTAAAAAACTGAGTAAGTCCCTCAAAATTAACCAAAAATCATAAAATTCTCACGAAATCAACCAAAAAATTCTCTTATCAGCCAAAAAGAAATAAAAAAAACTCTCGAAATTAACCAAAAAACTTTAAAAAAAAAAATCTCTAAAACAATGGAATTTGGTTATAAACAAATCAAGTAGTTTTGCGATGTCACGAATGATGATATACTTAGCCACTTCCAAAAGACGAGGCCTCGTCAAGAACAATTGTAGAAGGAGCAACTTATTTTATCGTTTTAATGAAATCCTACTTTTATTTTAAAAAAAATATCTTAAGTTTTTCGTTTGTGCTTCCACTCACCTAAAATCCTGGGTCCACCATTGAGTCTTTTAAACCATCTTCGAGTTTATTTGACATTGTCACATAAACCAAATTTGCAAACCACTTTCTAAAGTTGAAATGTCACTTAACGGCCTGTTTGTTAGCATGTTAACGAGCTTAATGAGACCCACAATTTATTCGGTCAGTTATACATCACTGTTTGGTAGTTATTTAATGATATAGAAATTGGTTTCTTCATTAAGCTTTTTTTTTTCAAATTTGTCCCTGCCAATTAAAAAAAACATGCTCACTTCATCTATAAAAAGCTCTTTTAAACAAAAAAGTTCAATTTATACCAACATATAAATCCACACATAAAACTGTATTCATATAAACTCAATAAAAAACCTTACAAACAATCCTTAAGACTAGAATGTATTGTATTTTATTTCTTTTAAATTCAATCATATTACAAATAAACATAGTTACAATGTAATGTTTGTAACAACCCAAAATCCAAACCAACAATAATTACATAATAAACGGTTAAACCAGCTCCAAAAGTAACACATCGAAAGGTATTCGACACATCTCAATCGTTTGCAGTGGGAAAGTATCATCCATAGCTGATAATTATTACAAAGCTACTGGTAGACAAAGCTCCAAATCTCTAAGCCATATCTAAGTGGTGATTCAAATCTTCCCTCTTTCTCTTGAACGAACTCTCAACATGAAAATTGCCTGAAAATTGTTTGATTTTAAAAACGAGGGTTAGACCAGAAGGTATGTTGAATTTCCCTATTTTCCACGGTAAAAAGAAGTAAAGCATGTATAGGATAAAAGAAAAAGGATATCCAAGTAGACAATCAATCACCAAAACGACGGATTTTACACAGTACTCGTAGACACACCGTCAATCCAACGTGACGTTCATAACCAATTCCCCAAGTAAATGTCTGTCCAAAATGCTCGAGAACGAATTCAAGGCACCTGGATAAAGAACTCCCAAGAGATTCCACTAAGATTTGAATTCGGTTAACTCATGTGTTTGATTTGAGTAAACTTAACCCTTAGGACATGTGGTGGCTTACTGTGCATCATGTGAGTTCCCTTGACTCTTCTTCTAACCGCCAGTAATCCGTCGAAAACACTGGCCGCCACAAATCCGACGAAAATATTTATTTATTAACTTTTTCGTTTTTGAAATTTTAAATTTTATAATTTAAACTCATTTTTAGCGGATTTCTGACGGACAGTGTTTAAATTATAAAATTTAAATTTTTTAGAAAAATATTTTCTACGGATTTGTGGCAGATTTCTAAAAGAAGTCTTATTTTGTGTTTTTTCTATTTTTCATGGAATAGGTTTATATATATATATATATATATAGTTTGGGTGGCCATTTTTGGAGCAAACATTCGGATTGTTTATGTTAGAAATTTCGTTTGTATCACTATTTTCATTCCCATTTTCATTCCCATGTCTGAACCAAACAGGCCCTAAGATTGTTTTGGCTGGAAATGTCCCATTTACAACCGTTATGTTGCCGAAATTGACTTGTAGTATTTTTTAAACCACAAAATTGTACAACGATGATCCCTCCAAATATCCCATACTTGATATAAAATTGTGGGAGCATGCAGTCGGAGGAAGCAAAAAAAGGTTGTTTGTTGGGTTTGGATACAACCAAAATCCTAATTAGGTCTTGACTGAGAGATCCACACAGGGAGGTCCATCATTTTCTGATAGCCCGATGCATACTTCTTTTCCTTTGATGATGTTAATTTATTTCATTTAGAATTCATATTAAAAATATTCTAACATCTTTTTTATTTTATAAGAAATTCCCGCCTCAAGGATCCAACTTAGATATATACAGGAAGAAAACGAACGTCAACGGGCGGAGGAGAAGCATCGACGGGTGTTGGATGAGAGATGGGAGAAATAATATAAAGAGATGACTGCTTTGGTCAAGCTGCTCAGTCAATCTCAGTATTCCCGCGTAACTGCCATCACTGTAAATGAATATTTGTTTGCTTTGGAACAATTAGTATTGGAACAATTTAATTTTTGTTTGGAACAATTATGTGCTATTTTTTCTAGACAATTATATTTGACATTTCTTGTTTTTAGTTTAATGTATGTTTTTTAGCAACATTTCATGTTTTTAACATTTTATTTAATATCTACAGGATTTACAGGTTTTTTTCTTTTTTATAAAAACATGAAAGACATTTTCTGGAACTGGGTGACTTTCCAGCGGAAATAATCTGCCGGGAAATATTAGAAAAAAAAATCCGGTGGATATTTCTGTCAGTAATTTAATTCGATTTTTTTTGACTTTTTAAACAAATAATTTTAAAAATATATTTAAAGGTTACTGGCAGAATATTTCGCCAATTAATCCAATCAATAAATTCTTTAATTTAATTAAGATTTCTTAAATAAATTCAAAAAGTGATGTGTCGTATTTCCAGTGGCTGTAATTCACCGCAAAACAAGAATCCACCGGTAATTATTATATGGTTGGAGAAACCCAGCTGTAAAACGGGGATTATCCCGCTATGTTGGATTGGCTCTAAACAAATATTAAATTATTGGTAAAGTTTTATAAGTTTGGTTAGATTTATATAAATGAACGCCATTATACTTTTGTGAAATTCATATACGTTATTCGAACTTTCACAATGATATATATAAAAAGATTTCGGAGATTTTATGTGTGTTGTATCCATAAAAATTTAAGAAAAAACCATTGCGATAATTTTGATAAAAGGAAAGTTTGCTTTTAGTAACATGAACTTTTTAAAACCCGATAAATACATAATTTGAGGCATATACATCATGAAATGTGAAGCCATAGTAAAAAAATGACGCTCTACATAATATTAGATCACATGTTCCACTGTCTGTAAAGGCCCAACCATCAATCATTGCATGTGCACGTTAAGGCCATGTAAGTTTTAAATTGCAAAACTTCTGCGGTTTATATGTTAATTAATTTCATTTTAACAAATTATGTATATGTAAGTTTTTGTTGTCGGTGAGAATTATTTTTATTTTAATATTAACGTCTCGTTAACAATACTTAGTTTTAATTTACCATGTACTAATTTTTTAGATAAAATAATAATTACAAATAAACAGATACACATGACACAGGAAAGTTTTGAACCCATTTGGCTCTAGATGCTAAATAGATATACCAATCAACTTAGATATATCAGTATATATAAATCAAATCAACAAATTAACCCACTATATCCTATTCGTAAACAAAGTCTAAAAATTGTGATATATATACAGATCTCACATCGATTTCTGAATACCAACATATCTTATACGATTAAATTATCTTCTTATTGATATATACGATTATTGTATATGTTGGAAAATTAACATCATAGTTGGTTTGATCTAAATACTCCATTAACAATATTTTGGCACAACTTTCTAAGGTTGAAGACAAAAAACACCAACATAACAATATCGTTATTATTTAACTATCAAGTAATTGGTGTAACTCGGATTATATCGATTTCCAACATCCACAATCATATATTTCTAATCATTCAACCTCAGTTACTTTATTGGTCAAAATAAATTGTTATTACAAAATAAACATTAATCAGATAAAAGTCTTGTTCTTAGTTTCACCGATAAGATAATTAAGTGACACCAACTAAACGCATAGTAAATAGACTCCAACAGTAAATACTTATAAAACATCTCACCAATTGGTTTGATATATAAACATGCTGATTCCAGAAATGATGAGGAGTTTAGAGAGAGTTGATTTTTATTTGGACAAATATGACCATGGTACCACTCTTTGGCCGTCTCTAGTTTCATATGTGCTGATTCCAGAAACTTCCAGACATGAATATACTAGCAATCGTGGTGCGTTATGGATCGTGCACCACTCAAATCGCATTTTAACATCGTTTGATTACTAGAAAACGAAATTTTATACATAAAATACCTCGTCATTAATCGGTAATCATTTTTGACGATCGAGTTTATTGAAAATAATCAATAGATTACAGGCTTAGATGCATTAGCATCCCAATTACCTCCTTCCTTGAGGTATTGCATGTACCTTGAGAACTCTGGTTTAGCTGTCGCCTTCTTCCTCCACCCTCTTTTCTCGAATATGCTGAAGATCGGATGGACCTTGCTCGCCTTCTTCACTTGCTTGTCTATGGCGTCTTCTTTCACCGGAGTTCTCACTTCAGATTCAAAATTCACCGGCAAATCGCCGAAGAAATTGGTAGGCAACGTCCTGGATCTGATCAACTTCGCATCGGATAATAGATCGTCAACGATGGATTCGCCGATCAACTGCTCGTATCCGCTGTGCCCCTGCCCTTTCCTGGTGCTCATAGCCCTAAACATGGCTGTAGAGGCGCAACTGTGTAGAGAGTGGGGGAGTGAGTGTGTTGGTGAAAGGCAGTGGAAAATGGATGGTTTTATAGGCAAGAAACAATAATTTAAGAACGATTTTTAATTTATATCAAATATTTGATAATTATTAAATTTATCAAAACAATAAAGATTTTCTAAGCCTATGCGGAATTTTGTGGTATAGTCTCAAGTCTTGTATGGCAGGCACAGGCAGTACAAAATATTTTATTATTAAATAATTTATTAGTAAAAAAACAAAAATAATTATCATATATCTGGTATTAATACAAATCCATGCGCAAATTAAATTCCAAACAATTACACCCATCTTGGATCTAGAAGACTTTTTTCATTCCGTTCTTGTGTCATTTTCATGGATTCAGATATATTTTTTTAGTTTATATATATTATATTATAAAGTATTTGACAAAAAATTTTAAAAACTATTTTTAATGCGTAAAGTACTGTTTATTAATATATATTACTTAAAATTCAAGATTGCAAGTAGATTGTGCGTAAGTACAACTTATTAAAGCTCCATATCTGAATTCGTGTAACTAACTGCAGATAAACATAATCAAATACATGATAAATATATCATTTTAAATATAAAAAATCTAAAATAAAATTAGGATAATCGTTGAGTTCTAACAAAATATTTAATTATTATATATTAAAATGTACTAGAAGGGTACTCGCACAATGCAGCGAGATACATCTCGATATTAATGTTTTTTTTTGTCTCAGTCGATGTTATAAAACGATTTTATATGGTTTTGAGAAAGCGATAATATTTTTATTTTTAAATAAAATATAAATATGAAGATATCATAAAGAATTGAAAAAAATATTATTGATATTAATGCCAACTTAACTCTTTAAAATTTCTTTTTTTATGTATTTCTTTAATTCATTTTTTTTATTTTTTGTTTAATAATTTTTTTTTTATAAAGATAATAGTTAAATATTTTGTTAGAATTTAATGATTATTCTAATTATATTTTAAACTTTTTATATTTAAAATGAGATGTTTATCATCTCGATTATGTTTATCTGTAGTTAGTTACACGAATTCAAACATGAAGTTTTAATAAGTTGTACTTACGCACAATTTATTTGTAATCTTGAATTTTTAAGTAATATGCATGAATAAACAGTACTTCATGCATAAAAAATAGTTTTTAAGAGTTTTTATCAAATGCTTTATAATATAGTATAGATATATTATTAAACCAAAAATAAATTATTTCGTTATTAAACTTAAATTAAATTAAAATAAAAAAATAGATTAAAGAAATTGCATAAAAAGTAGAACTTTTAAATAGTTGATTTGATATTAACATTGATATATATTTTTTTCAAATTTTATGATATCTTCAAATTTATATTTTATTCAAAAATAAAATCATTAATGTTTTCTTAAAAATACATAAAATCGTATTGTAACATCGACAGAGACAACTAATAAAATAGAACATTAAAATCGAGATGTGTCTCGCTGCATTGCGCGAGTACTCTTCTAGTTATTAATAATAAACAAACAAGTAATACTGACTTTTTGTAAGTTTATGTATTTTTACTTCATATCAATTACTAAAAATATATTAAGGGGTCGTTTACCTAAACACTTATCCAGTAAGCACTTGTCGGTAAAATTTAACATTATCGCTTACTTACCGGATAAGATTTTATTCACTAAAATGCATCGTATGCAATAATTTATCCCGGTAAGCGCTAACCATGGTAAGAGTCATCGTTCGCTCTTACCGGATAAGACTCTCGATTCTTGCCTTCGCTCTTACCGGGTAAGATTTTTAGTCCTTGTCATATTCATCCAATAAAGTAAAATGACTTGGTAAACGTTTATCCGGGTAAGCATTTGGTAAACGGCACCTAAGAATAAGTTTTGGAGGGCATAACGTTATTCCAGTTACATGTATCGATTAACATCCCGGACTATCACAGATGGCTTCAATTCATCGTAAGTAAATCTCCATAATCACAAGGGTTTTGATAACATATGGATTAGAACCGAGATAGATAAGATAATGGACAATTAGGTGAGCTTGAGTTTGGGACCATAGAGTTACGAAATGCATTATATTTATTATACTGATAGGTCTTTCATTTGAATCTATGATATACTTCCAAAATGTCTTTATAAACTAGACAATAAGAAACGAACTAATTCAAGCCTTTTGTATTATTTTATTTGTTAATTTGTCATAATTTATGTCTCATTTTATTTGAAAAATGACCATGTGTTTAAAGCATATTTAAAAACAGAAAGAAAAGTATAATTGGAGTACGATTTTAGAACTTGTAAATTCTAGCTACTAGAGAAATTAATAATCATAATAATACGTACCCGTGACTGTGACAGTGACAAACTTAATTAAACATGTCATAAATATCATATCATGTTACATACGTATGCAACGAAAACTTAAACACGTTGTCTTAATGAAATTCAATAATCCTTCTCAAAAATCTTAAAATGTCGTAAGATGACAAACAAACGCCAACTTAAGATATCGATTAGACTTTCTTCTTTTTCTTACCATCTTCTAAGATACGTGTCAGTGTTAGTTGTCAGTACCTACCTTTAACCAGTGTTTATAAATACATGGTTTTCTTGTTAACTACGGTATGAAACTAATGGAAAGATTCCTTTAACAACACAGACAAAAAACTTTATCCTTATCACATTATTTTAAACTTTCAAAATAACATAACTTAAAGAGGACGCTCCATTGTGTCAAATTCAAAGGATCACCAACCATGCTTCATTTAAAAACTCTCCCTTTGACTACAACTCCCCAATCAATTTCTCTTTCATTCAGAACCACAAATCCGTACCTAACCAACCCCTCCTCAAAACATTACTAATTATGGTTTATCAAACGTTTACTCGGTAAGCGTTTGCTAACTAGATTCATCACTCTTGCTTACCATACATAGTAACATTTTTTGCCTTAAAAATGGATTGATGATAAACGTTTATAATTCCGTAAGCACTTATTACTGGATAAAAATCATTATTCTCTTTTACTGTGTAAGACTTGATCCTTATTTTCCCTCTTAGAGGGTAAAATTCGTGATATTTGTTATGTTCATCTGGTAAGATATATAATTAAACCGGTAAACGGTCACCAAGGTATGTGTTTAGTAAATGTCCCCTAAATGACAACTTCATATGATTAACTTGTCATCGAACCTTTCACATGTCAAGATATTTAGTTCATATATCCAAGTCAGTTATTAGAGATACGTTAGTAGACGAATCACAAAACTTTTATTTTTCATGTGGCTGTCAATTATAACACCTTGCTACATATGTATCTGATCAGATTGCTTTTGTTTTCATTTTTCAGTCGATGATGGATCAGATATGACGAATATATAATAATTGACCGGTCAATTATTATCTCAAAAGACACATGGACAAGATTCATAAATACATTTTATCTTTTAGGTGATGGATAAGATATTTAAACTCCAATTTGATTTGATATACATGACTCTTTGGTAAATGCTTAATATATATAAAGTGGTTTATTAAACAAGTGTCTAGATATATGTATGTATGTATATGATATTGTATAAGAATGGCTATATACTCCAATGGTATAGTCACAAGCCCTAATTAAGATGTATAAAATTCAATGGAATTATTTTGTATAAATGTAATTGATTGCAACAACTTTAATTACAATGATAAATCTTCAGATGAATCGGAATATATAAATCAATTAGTAGATAACCGGTTTTGATGAATTGGAATCCCAAAATCCTCCTTCCTTGAGGTATTGCATATACCTTGAGAACTCCGGTTTAGCCGTCGCCTTCTTCTTCCGACTCCTCCTCTCGAATAAACTGAACAACGGATGAACCTTGCTCACCTTCTTCACTTGCTTTTCTATCACATCTACCTTCACCGGAATTTTTGGTTCCCACACAAGCTTCACGGGCGAATCACCGTAGAAATTGGCAGGCAAAGTGGTGGATCTGATGATTTTAGCATCCGATGATAAGAGATGGTCGACGGTAGATTCGTTGATCAATTGGGCGTATCCTCCTCGGAGACCTTTTCTTGTGCTGAGTGCTCTAAACATGGCTCCTGAGTTATTAATGTAGATGTGTGGATTGAGTTTGAATGATAAATGCGTGGAAGATTGAAGGATTTATAGGCATTGAAATATTTTGGAAACCCACGGGGAATCTGTTCAGATGGTCTTGTGTGGTAGGCCCAGTGACTTTCCTAGAAACAGGCTTTGATGGTCAACTTTTCTTAAACTATGCGGTCTTAATTATAAATTCATACAAAATTTAAAACATGCCATTTTATGTTTTTTAAGTGGAACCAAATTCATGACCATTGTATTTGTAGCCGTGTGTTCGGTTTGGTATCTTTGTTATATTTTCCCCTATTAATATTTTAAAAATGGAAATAAATATTTGTTAACTCCAAATTTGTTTTTTTTTAATCACGTAAATGTACGTTATTGTTTTATTTTATTTTTCTATTGTCGTCATGAAAATAATGGTATGATTTTTCATGATTGATGGCTATAAAAGAGACTGAAAAATTGAGAACGACATATTTTTGTTCAGAAAATTAGTATGTAACAACATTACAAGTATGTTGGTTACTAATTGTACCGACTTTATTAAATAATTTATTTCTTAGTTATTAATTAATGATTTAATACATAATCTTGTCAAACATTGGGTATTGTTGGTTTGTGATGATCTCATCAAACAGACCCCATGTTTAAATGTTGTTATTAGTTTTTGAACTATGGACTAACTCCAACTCTTTTAATGTTGATATATAACCGATATCAATATATGCTAACCGTAAAAACTTGTACTAATTATAATTGACTAGTATACGGTATATAACAATTATAGTTGATTCGTACAGAGAAAAAACATGATATCATACCATGTTCAACGCTAGTTATAGAGATATAGAATAGGACCGTCTTCATGCCAATCAGAAGCGGACCTATCTTTTGGTGGATGGTTA